GGTATTCAAGGTATGTATACATATAATTACCTAGTGCAGTTATAAGTGGATTGCAATCCGTAATTTGGTCTGAGCCATTAACAGTAAATTGTGGCTCAGTTACTGGCAATATGTGTAAAATACGTTATGAGCAATATATGGATAGATTGCAGGAAATACAGGTGCAGCTTAAAATTTGTTTTGGCTTTCTCATGCAAAGGCATAGTTGCAAAGAAATTTTCTTCAAAGATATCACTTTTCAACGGATGGATTTCTGATTTTTTCTTCTCTGGTTTTTAAGAGTTATCCCATACGGTAGTGGCCTTTGAGATATGAAGATGGGAATTTGGCCTTCCGAAGCATAGGTTACTGGGACGTAGCAGAAATATCTCCTTTTTGAATTCGATTCGATTTGAAGCAGGGCATGCTGGAGGGTCGACTAATCCGCCAGGAGCACGTTCCACGGGTAGATATACCAAATCCATCAGTAAGATTGCGCGAGCAACAAGTTGGAAACAATCTTAAAGAGACAAAGCATTGTAAAAATGTTATGGCATACGTTGAAGTAAGAAGCTTAACAAATCTGGATTATGAGTCCCACAACAACACTAGAGTTCCTCATGAATTGATCCCGATGATTTGTAGTCCTAACATACTCGTCATCTTTTTCAATTCAAATGCTTTTGGAAGATTTTTCTTCTTTTCCTCTTTCGGCTTCTTCATTTCTGTTTGGGTCTCTCTCAACTACATAATTCCGTATCGTGGTACAAAGATCCGCTTTAACATCTCCGTGGAATTACGTGGATGAGAAAAGTTCTGAATATACAACTGTTGGAAAGCTGCCAGCTGTTCTAACGCTGAAAAGGAATGCACTGATGAGACAACGGCTGATCATAGTAACAAAATAACTTAAGAGGAAAAATTTTTCGAGAAAAAATTTCTCCTTTGTTTAAGATTTATCCTCATCCAGATTATCTTCATCTAAATTATCCTCATCCAGTTATAGCTCACTTTTAATGTGCTAAAAGCACAAAGGCGGCATTTTATTCGTGTTCACCAACATAATAACCAAATATCCCTGTTCGCAAAAGAACTTTGTTA